ATTAGTAAGTGATTGCATTTTGTTTTCCCAAGTAATTTCCTTGAAATTTTTTGATAAATTATTATGTAAATCTCCATTTTTAGCATATTCAAATACTAACATATATTCATTTGTGCTTGGATCTTTTGTAATTCCAAAACATTCATTGACATAATCACCCATTTTACTATTTGCTTTTAACTAAAAATTACAAGTATAATTAATATTTTTTATTATATTATATTATATTACAATAATTAATATTACCTCTCTTAAAATATCCATGATTTTATCATTTGAGTTATATAATCTTTTTAATACCACCTTTATTTCAGAACTTGAACAATAATTGCTCCATATTGCTTTATGAACTTCACTAAAACCACCTTTAGCTAAATATTCAATATCCTTGAATTCATTAAAAGGAATCCATTCAATATAACTATCCATAAATCTATTTATTTTACATTCATAAAAAAACTTGGCTATCTCTTTATTTCCATATTCAACCTTCAAGTTCTCAATTGCCTTTTCTTTAGAACTATTGCATAATATAACTTTATTCAATTCAACATCTGTGAGAAATAAATTTATATATGACTCTCTAATTAACTTTTCACTTTCTTTTTCATTCTTTTTTTCTAATCTATTTGAAAGTTCTTTTAATGCATCAATTGATTCATTCAATAAATAAATAATATAAGCCTTATTTTTTTTTATTATTTCTTTATTACAATTGGCACAATTTTCTATTAATATTAATGTTCCAAGTAATTCACTTAATATATTATTAATTCTAATTAGTTTATTACCAAACTCAGGTGAAATTGGTTTACATAATAAATCATATCTTGGATAGATTGATTCAATCAACAGTTTTAATTTGTTTAATAATTCAGTTTTTTTCATCTTTGAATTTTTTAAATTATTTTACGAAATAAAAAAGAGAAGTATATTAACAACTTTGAGAAAAATTTTTTATGTATTAATATTAATGTCGATTATTTTTTAATATGTTTATTAATTTGAATCGATTAAATATTTATAAGAATACTTTGATTAAAAATATCACAAATTATAATTAATTTAAAATAGAGGTTGGAAATCGACTAAAATAGTCGGCTAATTTAGTCAACTAATACTAGTATTAAAAAAATTTAGTCGACTAAATAGTCAACTAAAAATAATCGACTAAATAGTCGACAAAGAAATTTATTTCGTTGGATATTAAAAACGAACTGCGGTAATTATTATTATATCCTATGATCAATTTAACAAATAAATTAAATCTGCACAAATAATTTAATACTATACTATGTTAACCAAATTTGAACCCTGTAACTTCTTTATTACAAATAATTTGACATTAACTATGATGCAAGTATACCCACTAAAATAATACAACAATAATAATAAGGGAAAATAAATAAATGGATGAAAATCTTGGCAATAATTAATTTTTCTAATAATAAAAATGTTTAAATCTTTGAAATCATCAATAACTTCGACGTTATCACCTGATACTCAAAATAATGGCAATGATTCCAAGACTAACAATAATAATGGTGATGATTCATCGACATTAGAATTGAATCAAGAGAAAAGAGAAGAAATTGTTAAAAATTTTAGAAAGATATTGGGAGCAGGGAACGAAAAATATGATAACGCTGTGAGTAAAGAAGATAATCACATTTTATGATAATAATTTTTAAAAATTAATTGAATCATTCTTGTATAATAGACATTGATCCGATTTGCAGTGGCTA